AGCCATGCGAGCTGGCATGTGAGGCGTGTTGATGGCAGTCCGCAACGATTCGTGGTCGGTATAAACGATGAAGGGGTCCGCGCCAATGAGATAGACGCGAAACTTGGTGAGGGCGTACTTGATCGAGATGAGCTCTAGATGTGGACCGAGTACGAATGCTCGGAGACGTGGCGCTGGCGGCTTTGGAAGGACACGGGGCGCCAGCGACCATCTGCATCAAGTTACATTAAGCAACAACCGATAGCTGATGGCGTATAGGGAAGCGTCACAGACAACGCTGAACGGCTTGGAAAAACTCGGAAGCGCCAAAATAGGGGAACTCTTGATGCTGTATTTGAGGGCGTCGAAGGCGGACTGACAGTCGCTCGACCAAACCCATGGTCCATCCTTGACGAGCAACCGAATGGGGTTGCGCGATGTCGGCAAAAACCACGAGAGTACTTTATGGAAGTAGGTAGCCAAGCCAAGCCAACGGCGAAAGTAGGTGACTGAAGAAGGGACTTGCCAGTCAACGATGATCTTGAATTTGTCGGGATCAGCCCGGCAACCGCGGATGCCGACGAGGTCGCCAAGTACAGGGATTTCGTTGACACCAAACAAACACTGAAGAGGTTGGCATACAAGCCATTCTCACGGAGGACGGTAAGGACCGCGCGAAGATGCCGACGGTGAACGTCGAGATCGGTCTCGGTTTCAGAACCGCGACTGTGGATGTAAATGTCGTCAAAATAGGACGCAAAGCCGCGGAAAGGGCGGAACTTGGTGGTCACCATGCGATGGAAAGTCGCAGGGGCATTGGATGGGCCTTGGGGCATCACGAGCCATTCCCAAAGCATTCCACTAGGTGTCGAGACGGCAGTCTTCGGCACGTCACAAAGGCTCATGAGGATTTTATAGAAACCATCGCGCAAGTCGATAGTAGAGAATATGGAGGAGCGACCCATACCGTCGATAATCACATCTTTGCGGGGGATCGGTGTTTGCGCCGGAATGGTGGCGGCGTTGAGCTTGTTAAAGGCGTGAACGATGCGCCATTTACCGTTAGGTTTCTAAAGCCGCAAAGAAAGCGTAGATCGCTTAGACTTGATCACGTGGAAGCGGCCATTGGCGAGTAACGCAATACTTCGTGCCGGGCACGAGGTCAATTTCGTGTCGTATACCCTTGTCGACGGGTAGGCGACAGGGAACTCGTCGGGGAATACATCCTTGAATTCATAACGGAGGTCGAAGAACTGATTCGAGCGGAGGGAAGCCCACGTCTGGGACTCCGCTATGTCGGGCAGGATAGATTCGTCTGCAGTAGATGAGGACAAAAGATCGAAGTCTTCTTCGCACGTAATCATCGCTATGCACGCTATTTCTTCCATTAGATCTTTTAAAACCTTTTGTTAATTTTTTAAATAAGGTATTGTTTTTTGTTAAATTATTTATAAATAATATTGTTTGTCGTTGTGATTTAAAAAACATTCTATAAAAAATATCGACCATTTTTCTATTTTTTAAAAGTATTTATAGTTAATCCTAAATTTTTTACAGGATATGTGTAATTATTTTTAAATCCTACAGAAGCAATTTCAAAATTACCTTTTTTAATGTCGTGCGAAAGGAGGGATTCCAAAAAGCAGTGATAGCTCATATCTGGCAATGCCTGGTTTACGGAGGATGATCGACGCAACTCGTCGAGGTTGCAAGCGTGCTGAATGAACGCATCTGCAGTGACAACTTGCGGAGTTCAGATAGTCGGAGCTATAACAAGGCGACGTGACTGGTGAATTTGAGCCCAACGAGATTGAAGGGGCGTTAGAGAGGCGAGACTGGTGTGGGAACGAGGTGGGTCGATGGCGTTGTAGATACGTCGGCGGCCGCTGCTGGAGAGCTAGCAGACGAGGGTGCAACCTCTCGGGGTGAGGTTTCCGACGTGGGGCTGCGAAGACAAGTGTGCTGGGGCCAACAAGCGCACTGGTGTGGAATCAGCGGCGAGTTCATTGCTCATCGCCGTGTGGACAAGAGCCACGGATAACACCGAAGGCTGTGAAGCCTTACCAGCGGCGACTCATCGGATCCACGGCTGATCAGTGTTCAGCCAAACGACTTTGTGGATGGTCTTGAGTTTCCAATCGCTCCAAGGTTGTTGGATTTGAGCCAACCTATTCCAAGGATGAGGACCCAACGCTTGTCCAAATCGATAACAAAGTACGATTCGAGTGAGTCGAAATCGTCGAAGATAACATGCAGCGTAACTAGTAAGTGCTGCTGAGCGGAGATGCAGCCATCAGCCATCTTTACGTGAATCAGGTCAGGGAAGTTTGACACGGGATAGAGCCAAAACGAGCAAGAGTGGAGCGATTAGCGTAGTTCGCTGACGCTCAAGAGACTAATTAACCATTTTGTTTGGACGAAGCCCGACGCGGCACATATGTTGGTCTGTGTTTGAGGCTAGGTCCTCCGAGTGTGATACGACACCACACACCTCAGGAGAACCTATTAGCGCCACAGTAGGGCGCCTCGCGCCTGCTGGGTCTTGACGTTTCCTGCCGCCTGGTGGTCAGATTGACCAGTTGGCCCAGTGGATCGCCTTGGGGGCGGTCGCCATGAAAAGGTTTGTGGTTGTTATTGGGTGATGAACGCTTGGATCGGATCGCGCGTCTTGTGCAAGTGAATGAGCTCCGAAGGGCGCGGCACTCACGCCAAAAGTGACCATTATGGCCGCAGTTGCTACACTTGCCGTCGTTGATACGGAATAGAGAGGAGATATCCATCCATATCTGATGGATTGGTTCGATTGTGCGCTAGGACTGAGGCGCAGGACACAGTAAGGGCGATGCGAACAGCTTCTTCGAACGAAGCTGGATAAACACCGAAGAGCTGTGTACGCAACGGAATGTGGTTGAGTCCGGCCATGAAAGCATTGACGCGGAGGGGTTTCGGTAGCGTTGAGTCGTTGTTGACGTTCCCGGTCAAAAAGCGAAGGTTGTGAAAGTAGTCTTGCACGTATCGTTTCCCTTGCTTGCATGCATAGAGGGATATTAAACTGCTGTGTTGAGGGAGGAAGCGGAGCTCCATTGTTGCGACAAGCTCGTCAAGCGTAGCAAACGCTGTGGGATTGGTCAGACGGATATGGTACGCTCAGTCTTCCGCCTGGCCCTTGAGATGGGAAAGGGCAAATGCCACGCGTGTAGATTCGCGGGTGAAATACAACGCATCGGCCGCGGTCTCGACTTGCAGAGTCCACCGGAGGAGCTTGCCGGCGTCGGAGCCGAACTTGGCGACGTCAAGCTTCACTGGCTTGACTCCCATAGCGGAGATCGTTGTAGCTGGCTGCTCGCAGTCGCAGGCTCTTGGTATGCGCGGAGAGTCTGCGTCTGTGCATCTTGAAAGAATGGTGCAGCTGGGACACAGATGATGCTAGTGTCGAACTTCGATCGTGAAGTTTACGACCTCGGTTTAAAGGGGACGGCACCATGTTCGCGCATTGTATTGGCTTGGCCCTCGCTCTGGTCGAGCGATTTTTCGAGGGCTCGACTTTTTTAGCTCCATTTCTAGTAAAGCAGAACGGCGGGCACACTCGACAGTGTGGTGGGTGATCATCCGGATACGGATAATTTCACTCGAGTCAAATGGCGTCACCAAGCTCGACCGAGGCAGCACCTGATGCCTCGAGGCTCGCGTTTATCGAGAGCGAATTGCGAGCCATGAGTGCCAAGATGGACCAAATTCTTCAAGAACAAGGCGCTCGTATTCAGTGTATCGACGACAAACTGGACCGACTTGTTCGTGTTGTGGAAGCAGGGGTTACCGCTCATGAGGGCAAACTGACAAAGCTGCCCGATGCCATCTGCCAACCGCTCGAGCGGCGGTGGACCGATACGTCCCAAGTTGTGGACCATGCACTTGCGTGTACGAATGCGCGACTTGACCGCATTGAGAAAGCCTTGGACGAGTTGCCAGACAACCTCCGGTCGACTCGGCAAAAGCTGCACTCGGCGTCGTTTGCCCTGCAGGGCATGGAAGGATTCTGGCCCACCACGGCAGTATTGCCCACAACATTGCACCCCTCCCGCGAAGCACCACCAGGTCCTCCAGCGACGAACCCTCCTCGCCATACCTCCCAACGACACAACCAACACAGAGCCACCAGAGTCGTGCAAGAGCCATCATACACAACACTGTCAGTCCGCGGCAATATTTCCAAGCCTCCGATCGCAGCATACCCCACCGAGGACACTGCACCGCCTAGTACTACCTCCGCTACTGCTGTGTCTTCGTTTCGAGCGACGAATTGCCGAACAATGTGGCACCTCTGGTTCCATGGCGACCCCTCGACCGCCGACGGACCGTTGCGACACGTCGTCCTGGACGAGTATGTCGGAGGAAGCACTCGGATGCAGCAATCTCGCTCCAAGGTCGTGATGGAAGCGTTATGTCAGTTGGGTGGCGTCGCTGCAGACGACGTGTCGGCGATGTCCCCAGGCGCATCAAACGAAGTGTTCGATCGGGCGTTCCACGCTCTGTTGTATGAAAACCCAGAGGGAAACTTAGCCGGCGCTGTAGGAAAACTCCGCCCCGACAAGGCCGAGTCGTACATGGTCGCCACCGTATACAACGTCCTTGTCAACGAAAGGCGGAAGCGAAAACGCGACGCAGCGGTCGAGATTCACATGTTATGATGGCAACCTTCCTTGTTGCAACCTCGTCAATTAGTCCCCGCCATGACTCGTCTATCGAGTTCTCGTCCATGGGAGAGCGGAAGCGTCACGGCCCGCCCGTGAATAACGCCATGCTGACTACTCCTTCCCAAACGTCGAGTCGGCGGTCATCGACGACCTACTCAAGGCTGAAGGCACTCAATCCACTCACTTTTTCTGTTGTCATTGCAACGAAACCACGGACTTGCAATACGTCGACGTGTCCAGTCATCGTTAGGGGTTGAGCACCCTCGTGACGCTCGTGAAGTCAGGAACACCCGTGACGATGAAAAATGCGCCAGGGTGTGATCGGTCAAGCTTCAATGATGTCCTTGCTAGTTAACATATAACTGAATCGAGACGCCTGCTCTCACCAGGGCTTCAAAGCATGACTATTTAGGCTTCATGGAAGTATGGCTTCAAGGACACGGCATTCTCCATCCATCCAAGTGCACATGGCCACGACCTCTGAGACTGCTGCTTGTCGCGTCGGTCACGAAGTAAAGCATCCTCGGCGCGAAAACAAAGGACGACGATCCGGATGATATCATCCGGATACTGAACTTCCTTCCACTTAGATTCACTCTCGACAATATCGATGGAATCAAGGATGGAAGAAAGGCGGGGGGCGCAAGTCGTCGGACATGACGCCGGGGCTTCGGAGCTGCTCCAAATGCGCATGGAAGCTCTCGAGAGGCAAATAGATAACCTTCCAGATCGCATCTGCTTTGTGCTTACCCGGCAGGCAATGCAGCGCGAAGCGCAAGTGGACGAAACTCTCTATCTAATCCGTCAGCGGTTGGAAGGCATCGAGACCCGTGTCGATCGTCTATCGTTTGGTGTGTCGCGTGTATTAGAAGGGAAACAAGCGGCGTCAGTGTCAAGTGTCCAGTCAGCAACCGCGGCGGGCATGGGATCAATGCAACCCCCCGAAGGAAGTACGGAACTGACCTTGGCGATGCGTACATTGACGACCGCATTATTGCAAACAAGAAACGGGTTGAATCTCGCGCCATCGGGTACGATTCCGAATTCGTCCCATGAGTACGGCACAGTGCTCGACGAATTGCGGCACCATCAAGAAGAACGATCGATGTCGCATCCACCCCAGGTCGAGGCGCAGTCTGTGGGGAATGCGACAGCTGCCCAAATGTCGTCACTCCCTACTACGCGGCGGTCGCAATTTCCCACTCGTGATGATGTCTCTCTTCATTCAGCTGAACCTTTCCACATTAACCAACTCCCACGACAACAGCCCGTCGTCGTCGCCACCACAAACTCGAGCACTCCCCAAACGCGACTACCACCCACAACCCAACAGACTTCTGGCAGCAACGATCACCCTTTGGTACTAGAAGTGTCACCGGACACGAATACTTCGGCCATAAGCGTACTAAGCGCACCCTCGGCACAAGTGGGTGATTACTCGTCAAGTCTCAACCTGCAGCTTGTCCAAGCACCCCCAATCGTCCAGCGATCGGAGTTGATGGTCCCCCGTCTTTCGGACAGGGCCTTGGCAAACGGCATTTCCCAAGAGGATTACCAGGAATTGATGGCGGAAATGACGACAGGAGACAACGATGCTGCCACACTTCCTTTGACAACAATCCCCGCTGTGTCAGGGGCATCATCTGTCACCTACGATGACGACCAGCCGATCAAGAAAAAACGAGGACCGAAGAAAGGATGGAAAAAGGACAAGATCTCAAGCCTGACCGTGAGCGCAACACCTGCAAAAGCAAAGAATCGTGCGGGCTGGTCGACACGGGCCACCGATGACGGTGCCGCGCCTGATTTGGGCCACCTCCACGACGAAGTATTGCTCGATCCAGTGTCGGTGGTATCGTCTACCTTCGACCGGATTCCGCCGTGGCGCCAACAAGTCGACGATTCCCATGGAAATACCAACCACGACGCCGTGATGGCTTCTTCCACCACAGACGTTGTTGTCCCCGTCAAGCGCAGAGGGCGGCCGAGGAAAAATGTCTCGTCAACGGCTTCTCAGCAAAATCGACCAAAGTCCACCGTGGACACCAACAAGTTGGAGGTCGTTGCGAACTCGCCTGTGCGTCGGCGTGAAGGCGGTCGACTGAAGCGCCCGCTGTCGGAAATTTCATCCCCTCAGGCTTTCCTTTACCAGAATCAGCTCAATGGAGGACATGACAACGAAAATCCCACCACCCCAGAGCAACCGACTAGTGCAGACACGAACGGTGGTGACACGGACGCGACGAAAAAACGCAAAAACACCGGCGACACGAGTGACATCATGGGCGTACAGTCTAGCGCTACCGCTGACCCCTCGGCTCCAGCGGAGGGCAATCCCGACTTGTTCGAAGATATTCTCGGCCCTGAACATCCGTCTTCCGACATTTTGAGCCCGCTCATGGACTCCGCCAAAGGCAGCAAGCAAGGAGCCGAAATTGAATCCACCACTTCAGCACTGGTAAGTTCCTTTGGCAAACGACGAGCCAAGGACGCGCGACCGCGGCAAGTGGGTAGGCCCAAGAAGAAGCGCGGCCGGCCAAAAGGGCCCAAATTGGGTGCCTTGCATGATGGAAGTTATGTTGGGCCGTCCGCTGTAAACTTGGCTGGCGCAGAAGGAATGGCAACTCGATCGCTCAAGCGACAGCAGAGCCCTAGCCACAACCACGGTTCTATTGCTGTGTCAAGCCGCGCAGTTGGAGGCGCCATAGATATCGAGCTGGCCAACTCGGATGCGTCGGAAATGGAGTGGCACCCTATTCGACTACAACAAAAAGACCACCCGCCACCTACTGTTGAGGAAAACCCAAGCGAGAAATCACCCAAGACGCCCCGCACGACGGCAGGGAACGCTCTCGTGACATTGGCCTCTGGTGACGAGCAGGAGCTCACATCGAAAGAAACGATTTCTGCAACGGCTTCGAATGACACCATTTCGACCAATATTTCCATCATGAATGGACCTCCCCCTCAAGTTGTGAACGAGAATGATTCGGCAACCTCAGTGACGCTACATCCAGAGCCACACATCGACCCACTGCGTTTGGACCTCCTCCGACCAAAACCTGGTCTAACGATGCTGGAGGCAGAACCCGTGATGGAACCACTCACATCGTCGTCTGGGAAACCGAAAAAGACGCGGTGGGTGTCCCTACCTCCAAATGGGGCAGGAGGTAGTGGACTGAATGGATCCGAGTCGTCCTCCTGTCATTCTGCTTCACTCTCCGCAGAATCGAGAGATCCTCCTGCTGCTACTGATGGTGTTCAAGATGGCGCTGCCGATGAGCAACAAAATTTGCCTCAGTTTTCCCTCTTCGAACCGCCTGAATCTGAAGAGATGAAGCCTGCAGAGTTAAGTCCCTCGAAGCACTCGACCAAGACTTCGGTCATACCGTCTATCGGCACTTCCTACTCTGCCTCGCATCCAAGTGACCCTTTTGAATTGCCGAATTCGACTCAGCCCATAGCGAGCGACAACACTTTACATTTGGCCAACCACGATGCATTGCCTGCCACGGGCACAACAAGCACTGCGGTAATAGTCTCAAACCCATTTACAGCCGACCAGAACGTTGCCCGACCGCGAATGGATGGGACCGCTCCGTCCAACTCGCGAACTTCCGGCACGTCTATGGCGACGAATCCCCCTCGGCCACTTTCTGAACCTTGCTACGACAGCGCTATCTCGACGGACGTGGGGCTTTTTCGGTGGAAAGATGGCGAATGTCGCCGCGCCCCCGAGAATTGGCAGTGTCCAGCCAGCACGTGCAAAACGATGTGGTGCTACTGGTTTCGGGGCGACGCAGTGAATCAAATCGGACCGTTTCGATTCCTGCGATCGAGCGATGTGAACGACACAACGTCGAGGAACCTGCTCGGGCGTGGCCGAACTGTGATGGACCACCTCATCCGCATCGCCACGACCAACCACTTTGCCACGTCCCTCGATCACATCGCAGCCATGGCTCCAAGCGACTTTATGGGCGTATTTGACAAGTCGTTCGAGATATTCGTGCGGAAAACCCCCGACGGCATGCTTACTCGCGACGGGTTCGAGTCGGTGAGATGGGAACAAGTCGTGTTCACCACGTACGGGGCCGTGTACGACCTCATCACGACCGTGAAGAAAAAGTAGGAGGCATAGATTTGTGTCGGAAGAAGAGTGTTCCAGTTCAAGTCCCGTTGTCTGCCACAGGATGACTGAGGGGACGATCAACCATGTCCTTGTTGAATCGTTGATAAAATCGCATGCACTAGCTTCGTGACTCGAGCAAGCGGCAGTATCGAGAGCGTTTTGGCCGTTCACTGGAAGTTGCGCACAGGCAGGTAGACTGTCTCGTCGTGCTGAGCCTGGTGCCAGCGACGACACACCGCATGAGTCATCACTCGGAATATGTGTAAATGGACGCGTTGTCGGTCACCCAGGGGGGGGGCGGCACGGACGTTGCCGGAAACCAAACCATAGTGACATGCGACGTATATCGCTAGGTCAAACCACGATCGCGACTTGCGAGAAAGACGGACGCCTGCGACATACACCGAAGATGCATTGTTGGTTTGACGATGCTGGTGTTGTCACTCCAGCGGGAAAAGGGCAATCACAGAGAGACGCTGACGACAAGTTCAGCAGGGCGTGTTGTTCCCATGAAGTCTGCATTCCACAATGGCCCCTCTTGATCTCTTCGAGAACAGCCTGCCATCGACGACGTCGCGCTACAGCGGCATCAGTTTCGACAACGTCTTGAGTTTTTGAGGGTGGTCGACGCCAACGATCAGTACAAACACTCTCCAATTCACACACACACTCAATGAAAAGCACTGCAGGTCGAAATTTGTAACCCAAGGGTTGCAAGGAGCAGTCAAAATCGCGAAAGTGAAAGCGACGAGCTCAAGTCAATTCGATGCTATAGTTGACCTGATCGTTAATGAGCGCGGCGACTCGTCTCATTGGCAAGATGCTTCCGCGAGGGCGAAGTTCAATGCGTTCCTCGAACGCCAAGGGAAGTTCGAGACCCTCGAGAAGCTGGACGTATGTTCCCGCGGGATCGTTGCCCACGAGAAGTACGTTGCCCTCGCGGTGGTTCGGACATCCGCCAGGTACAGTAGGATACAGTAGGTAGGGTCCGAAGTGTTTGTTCAAGGCGACCAGGCGAAGTGAAGCGGTTGGTAGTCAGTAGCTGGTACATAGCTCTAGCGCTAATCGAATGTACTTTAGTTTTTTACGAAGACGGTGAGAGTCAAAAGTCTCAGCTCTACGCGTCGCGAGGACCGGGAGTGAGAACAACGTAACAAAGTCCTTGGTGGAGCAGTTCTGCAAGTTGCTGTTGCAAGGCGACAACGTACATTGGCAAACTTCCATGAACTACCTGCGTGCCATAACGCGCCGACTCGAAGAAAAGATCAAAGTCGACTTGTTTGCTCGAGAAAGTATTTAGTATCGAGTATCGCAGACGACACTTGCACGAAAAGGAAGTGTTGGGGAAAACACACAGACAGGTGTTTGTGGCTAAAGAAGCACACGTCGACAATTGATGTAGTTTCATTTATGTATCAAATTGTCTTCGCCAAATATGACTCTCGGTCTCTGATAAACGAAAAGCGACTGAGCAAACAGTGGCTGTCCATTGCAAGAAGCCTTGACATTGGCACTTGCTCGAGGACCTGCAATTTTTTGCTGATCGATCGAACAAGGTATGACCCATCAAACGAATTCTGTGCTCCCAACTAATACGTAGATTGTAAGTGCTCCAGCAACAATCGACCTCAATCTTTGCTCACCTGGCACTAGGGCGATGGATCCGTTCGACACCTTGGTCGCTGACCCGTTCAACAATACTCACAAGGTGTTTCTTCACATTTTTGACGCGAAAAACAACTTGTACAGATTAATCGAGTACTCAAAGGGTTATACATCAGATCAAGATTCAACACTTACCAAGCGTCTGCAGTCGGATTCCGCGCGTCGTGGTGGCGCTGCACATGCAAGCAGTCACGGCAACATCACGTTGCCCGTCTTGGCCCGTCGCGGTCTACACGAAATATTTATATGCGCAGCACATACAGTCGATAAAACCTCGACAGAGTGGTATCGAATAAAAATTGAGCATCCGATGAGCAATGCCGTTTCGGCGAAATATAGTCACAATTACATTTCACGCAGGGATTGGATAAATACCCATTGAATTATAGCGCTATTTGATTGGTCTATTCGAAAATTCCTCGCACTTTGAACTTCGATGCCAACACCGGTCCTCCCGCAGCGCGTCCAGAGGCGATATACAGTCCGTCAAGAAATTATAGACGCACCCCAAAAATTTC